AGAAAACCTTAATGTTATCATCACGCACTGCAGAATAATATATATCATCGTATATCAATAATCAGACAGTTTCATAGACATAAAAACAGTAAGAGATGACTCAGAATACGAATATATAGAGCATTGAGTTAAACTAATGACCTGTGCGGAATCAGAAATTAACAGCATCACAAGATCACTGCCCGAAACAGTTTCCCATATGTCACCTAGAGTTCCATTCTCCTCAGTAAACCCAGCTGCCCGAGCTTCAGCAAAGGATCGAGAACCTTTCCTGAGTCCAATCTGCATTTTTAAATCATTGAAACGACAAAAAAAATGCATATACTCAGCCAGCCATCATTAATCAACAATTTCAACATACATTCATATATTATAAAAGAAATCGAACTAAGTAACAAATGAAAACAAGAATCACACCTTGACCACAATATCAGACTTTGCTTCAGCAAGTGAGTCCCGTAGATTCTGAGCCTGGGCAGGTCCCTGAGAAAAGCAGCGCCTTGTTAACAATCATATCAAAGCTAGGAAGTACGTCATCATCAGAACAAAACAAATATTAAGCCATAACATAGCTTAATTAAAATCTCATATGCATATTCTCCAAACTCAAATATAAATGAAATTAACTCATTTATCTCTTGCCACGGGATTCCCAAGCCCACAGCGTCGAAGACTAATTCCGTTCGCAGTTACTATAATATAACTTGTGCTCATCGGACAAGTATTTGCTCACTACGAGAATCGAACACGATTCACGGTTGGAATGTAAAGTTCATATTGATGTCAGATATTGTCACACTTTTTAGCCAATATGAGAAACGAACACGATTCACGGTTGGATTTTTAAGGTTCATAATTGATGTCAGAGATGGTAACACTTTTTAGCCATTACTTAAATACGAATCTTCGAAAGTCACCTGAGATCCCCAACCGATGACACCAATCTGTTTGATCCCCTTGAAAGCATCAGGCAACAAGTGGAACAAATCCCTGCCTCCTCTTACGATGTACTGCAATGAATCAAAATAAACAATAAACAAAACAAGTTCAAAATTCACGAATCTAGAAATGGGAGAAAGCGTTCGAAAACCTCGTCGTGTCCAGCGAGGTTAATCTTCTCCTTCTTGAAAACCTTCGTGTCGAAATCAAGAAGCGAGGGGGCCTTCACCGCCGGTGCCGCCACCATGCGAGCGCCGAGGGCGGCGCCGCATCGGCGAAGCCTGAGGGATTTGAAGGCAAATTTGGAAGAGGAGGATTGCAGCGCGAGGCTGGTGGAGGAGAAGCTCCTGGAAGAAGGTTTGGCTAGGGTTTCCGAGGCAGTAGAGATTGCGGAAGAACACGACGTCGTCGCAGCCGCCATTATTAGTAGTAGAGTGTATCGGTTTGGGTTGAAAGAGGGTTCGGTGAGTGAAGGAGTATTTGGTTCGTGATTTTATAGTACAAGAAGTCAATGATGTGTGCTAACGTGCGCTCGTATGGTATCGGGAGGAAATCTCCACTTTGTCAGTGGAATACATTAAGCCCCTCCTCTTCAAGCGTGCAAAGGCTAGGTGAGACAGTAATACCACACATTCTGATTTTTTTTATTTTTTTTATTTTTTTTTTTGCTATCTAAAGTTAAGTAAAGTGTTAGTTAAATCGTCGACTTCAAAGTTTAAAGCACTACTGATTAATTGATCTGTTTTTTTTTTAATAATTATTATAAAATTAATGAATTTGTCATATGTAATGATAGTTAACGAATGAGAAAACAGTTTGTATCATTTTTTGTATTTTATTGATTATTAATTATCAATTACTTTTTGTCTTGTATCCCTCAAAATTAACAAAGACAATATCAGAACAAGCATGCTGATAATTTTGTCTTGTTTTAATGTCTTTCTCTGATTACTTTTTATGTTGTGGGATACCTAAATCTATGTGATGAAATGAGATATATATTTATATAAATTTCTATAAATATTTTTATAATTAATATATATATACATATACAAAACTTCTATGAATCAACTTATAAATAAACTCATCTTAGTTTATAGACAAACTTATTTAGTTTTAATAGAATACATAATTTTTTCAATGTGATTAAATAGCATCATAAATAATTTTTAATAAATTTATTTTAAATGTTGTTTAATATAGTTTTTTTTATAACAACCAGTTTATTTGGTCAGTATGAGAACTTAACTGCATTCAAATTATTTTAAACAAATAAAAGTGAAATTTTGTCCGAAAAAACATATAGTTTGAAATGCATTACATATGTCGTTTTCTACATAAATTTTGGTAACTGAAATTTTAACTACATTGAGTACAGCTATAATAAGATAAGGATACATATTGATCTGTGTTTTATTTAATTTAAAATGGTCAAAGTTCATATAATTAAAAAACTATTGAAAATTAGATTATGTTAATCTTACGCATGACACGTTATTATTTTTTTAAAAAGAAAGTATCCCTCTCTCAATGTTCTCCGATAAGATTTATCTGAGAGAATTACTTCTCTCAACATATGCTTAAATTAATATGAAAATATTGTTAATGAATAATTTGAAAAAAAATTATAACATTTTTTTAAGTTTTAAGTTTTCTAAAATATAAATTTAGGATTTTTTGAGGAAAAAAAAACTTTATTATATTATATTGTTTTTAAGTTGTGGTTCTGCAATAGAATCGACGCATCAAATATTAAAAAAACATGTTGGTCAAATTGAGAAAGGTGATGGATTCAGCGTGGATATGTTGTGGCAGTTGTAAAGATGCAGCACAAAAATATTAAAAAGGTGTGATTAGTTGAGGTGATTATAAAGAAAAAATGATATGCCAAATGGTACAATTAAAGAGAGTTGTGTGACAGAATCCTATGCCTCCATTGTCTCCCACAACAGCTTCCACAGAACACAAACAAAGATGACCAATTAATTACGTTGTTGTGCGTTCAATCCTAGGACCATGATTTATGTTGCAGTCGTAGAATTTGGTACATCCAATAATTGGAAAATAAAAACGTATCCAATAATGGATAAAATGTTGGTGAGATTTTGCTTTACACCAAACAGACATGCAAGAATCTCCCAAAAGACGTACAAGGTTTATTCTAGGTGTAGCATTGCAAACTGAAATTTCAGCCAAAAATAAACACATGTGCTCTACCTATTCATTCAGTTCATGGTTTACTTTCATGTAAATCATGGACGCAAACGTGCATTACCTGTTTTTATTTAAATTAAAAAACATAAAGTTACTTTTATTTTGAAAGCAACCATTTTTTTCCTCAATTTATGGTTTGTTCCTTCATTTCTCATTTATAAGTAACCAAAACCTTTTTTTTCTTAAATTTAAGTAAGTTTTCATTACATTTACTATTTTTTTTTCTAAAATACCTTAATTTGAAATAATCTTTATGCTTGGGTACACTATTTTTTATTTTATATTAAATTTGGTAAATTCTTCTACAATTATGTCTTATTTTTTCAATAACCTCCTCTTCTTCTTCTACCATTGCTGTACCAGTTTATTGTTCCTGGAACCTGTCTTTTGCTGTTTTCCATAACCAATGACATTTTTCTCAACGATAGATTTTATTTTCAGAACAACCAACGGACGATAAAAGAAACCCCGTAAAGCCAAATAATGGGCCTAGGCCCATTTTTATATGTTTTAAAGCTTTGTTTGTGTAAGCCCAGACCTACCGAACAAATTAGCAATGGAATCAGTGATTCAATTTTTTATAACCTTTTTTCATTTTGTTATAATTTTAATTTTTTAATAATAATGTAATAATTTTTTATTAGTATTTGTTATATTACGACGATAACTTATATGTTGTTGGTGATAATTATTTGTTAACTAATTCTGTAAATAATTATGTTTTAATTGTATAACAAATTGAATACATTTTTTTATCGGTATACAAATATGATAATCAGTACAAAAAAGTTAAATGCAAATTGCAACTCAATTATTTTAGTAATACACATTTTTAAATATAATTTCTTATATTTTAATATGTTAAATATTTTTCATTTTTTTCTTAATTTCCTTAACATATTGTTTCATGATTAGTTTTTCTAATTCATACTTGTGAACATCTAGATCATGAGTATTAAATACACCTAATTACATGTTTAATTTCCATTTACATTAATTAAAGATACATAATTTAGAAACTCTTACATAAACAAATAAAATAACTATTAATGTTAAAGAAGAGGGGATTTTGGGGCAGGGCAGCATTGGAAAAAGAAGTAAAATAAGAAATAGGAGAAAAGTCAGAAAATAAGCTGAAGGAGAAAGGACAAACAGAGGGGGGAAAAATAATAATAATAATTTTTAAATAAACAAAATAGGTTAAAATTTTAGTGTAATATGAAAATGAAATAGTGAGTAAATGAAATTTATTCATAAATTTTTATAAAAGAAAATTATTAGTGAACATTTATCAAGCAATATTAAATAAAAAATAGACTATTATAAGACCCATAAAAAAATTAATAACTTTAAAAATGTGACTGTTAAAATTGCATTATGTAATTTGTGCATATATATAAACTAAAAAAAAAAAACTCAAAATTTTATAGGGCATATTCCCTTTTATTCTCTCACTATCATTTTGAAGTTAATATTGATTATTCGAATTTTATTTTTCTGTTGACTTAAAAACAAAGCGAGAAATCAGTGTCCGAGTCAGTACCAATCATACCGTTGGATCCCCAAGCTGTGTGAATCGGACGGTGGTCATTACTCCGATGCAGAACCGTTTCTGTGCAGCGTCATCTCCTTCCTGAGAACGAAACAAGCAGAGACAAACCTTCTTCCTTTCACTCACTTTCCCTCTCTTCACACACACACACACACACACAAAAAAAACCCTAATCTCAGAAATTGAATTCCCTTCTGGCAAGATTCATTCCCAGATCAACGCCTCCTTCAGACACAGATCGGTTTTCTTCTTCCTTTTAATTACCAAATTTGCGATCTTTCTGTGCCTCCGAATCATGGAGAAGGAGGAGAACGAACCTCCCATTCAGAAAAGTGGCGGCGAAATCGAAGACTCAGAACCCATCGAGCTCGTTCTCTTTCAAGTGCCCGAGTGCTACGTCTACATAGTAAGTCTTCCAACTTTATGTTCGTAGGTTTGTCTCAAAAATCGATTTTGGGCAATGGGTTTTGAGAGGAAGGTGTGATTTGAATTTCCAACTCAATGGGTGGTGCAAATGATAAAGTTTCATGTTGGTGCGCTGATCAATAATTTAAGCTTGTTTAGAGATGATGGTGGTGCTGAATGTTGCTTCTTCTTTTTTTATTATTTAAAGTTGAATTTTCTGTTAGATGCGTCAGGTGGAATTTGAAAATGTGGTGTAAAAGCTAATGATGAGTTTCTACTATGTTTGCAGATACCTCCAAGAAAGAGTGCAGCTTCGTACAGGTTTGCGATCAACTGCTGTGTGGTGCTTGTGTTCTGTTTAGTGCATCTTTGGCATTATTCAAGTTGTTAATCCACTATACCTTTTTGAAGAAGTTGTGTCATTCAGTGTATATGGCAGGGTGTTAGATTTTGATATGCTTATAATTATTTTGTGTCTTTCAATACCTTTGTAGAACTATGTTCTTTCTGAAGGAATCGGTTTTCTACTTTTGCAAGTTTGTGACTTTTTTTTGCTGCTTTGGGTGTGTGATTGCTGGATATTTACATCAGTGAAATTCGTTTCAGGGCTGATGAATGGGATGTCAACAAATGGGCATGGGACGGGATACTGAAAGTCACTAGCAAGGGAGAAGAATGCATCATAAAACTAGAAGATAAGAGCACGGGTAAGACCTCATTAAATATGCTTCAAATAGATTGAACAATTTTTTCTTTATTATTATTATTTTTTATTCTATGATGAAATATATATAACTAGGTGAATTATATGCTCGGGCATTTTTAAGAAAGGGAGAGCCGCATCCAGTGGAACCTGTTATTGACAGCAGCAGGTGGTTTTCCCTGACTGTTGATTGTTTAAGTGTTTGTTACCATACCTTTTTATACTTCAGGATGCTTAAGTAATTATACTTGTATATCCTGCAGATACTTTGTTCTTCGCATAGAAGAGAACATAGGTGAGTCATAATATCTACATATTTCTGTGCTCTCTTCTTCTCTTAATCATCTTATCATCCATGTGCTGGGTAGCAGGGTAGGACTTGTAAAGGAAGTATATAGTATAATATAACATAATCATCTTATCATACATACTTGATTTTAAGTAATTTTGAAATGATGTGATTGTTTTTAAATTAGCTTCTACTTCTCAGGTAATAGAATGAAAATTCAGCTTGCTATGCTATCAAAGGATGTGTTGTGTCAGTAATTTTCGTCATGATCAATTTTGTCTGTCAAATGCTTTTGTAAACTTGCAAGCCTGTTTTTTTTTTTTTTTTTTTGAAATTGATATAGAAAACTGTGGTTTTTTTTCTGTTTCTTTACCTTTTGGTTCCTGTGTGGATAAACTACTCTATAACTAATTATGATAAAAAAAAAGTAATATGAATTAAACTCTTCCCCATAAGTTAAAATCAACTTGTGCATTTAACCTTTTATGAATGTTATCTCATTTAGCTTCTTCAAAAGCTAATTTTAACTTATGGGAGAAGTTTAGTTCATTTTACCTTCTTATTTTATTCTCTTCTCTTGTACGTGTTTATGGGAAAATTTATCCAAATAAGGCCTTAGTCTCTCTGAAGAGTGCATAATGTTTTTGCACAAATTGTCTCTAAATTCACTGCACACATTGTCTAAAAGTTCCCGTTGATGACCTCTATGACATGACCAAGTGATCATAATCTTGGCTCATTGCATAAATTGTCTCAAAATATTACAAAGTCTAGGAGTATGATTGGGCCAAGATCACGCATTCTTGGTAGTTGGTACTCGGATCCTTTCGTGCCAAGTGGCTTTCACTATCTTCTTCAGTTTCCCATTAGCAGTCACAGTTTCAAATTTTGTGTCCATCTAACCCCATCCCCACTTCCTCTCTCGTGGTATTAGCCTCACTTATTTTTAGTATACGACTAAATTTACTTTTAAGTACTGTATACCTTTTTCATGTTTGGACATTTCAAGTTGGAATACTGTTGACTTTTGATCCGTCTTTATATAATGCATTAATTTGTTTTGGTAGTTCTGCTGCACACTTTTTCATATTAGGGACGAAGTTTGGTCTTTATTACTTGCGAATCATGCAGGTGGTCGCCTTCGACATGCTTTTATTGGCATAGGATTCCGAGAAAGAACAGAGGCTTATGACTTCCAAGCTGCCTTACATGATCATATGAAGTATCCTCCATCAATATATTTATTAGATTTATCATTTTTATTGTATACATATATATCATGATCTCATCATCTGCAAAACTTGGTAGACTTCAAACATATTTATAATTCATTCTGGCTTAGAGAACCGAGGTCCTCATACTGCTTTTTAAAAAGCAGAAAGCATGTGTCTTCCTAAATTTTCTAAAGATATCTGGACAAAAAGAAAACTGCTGAAGAGATGGAACAACATTACCAGCATACATCCTCAGTTGATTACAGTCTAAAAGAAGGAGAAACTCTTGTATTGCAAATTAAGAACAATGTACGGAATTCTATATTTTCCACCTGTGAACGACGCTTTCTTCTTTTTTCATCGCGTTATCTTTAACAATTCCTATCTTTTGCATGCAGAAAAGTAACAGCAGTGTGAAGTCCAAGTTTTTTGAGCTGGGTCTGAACAAATCCTCAGAAGAAAAGAACGGAAAATCTCCAACTAGTATTAAGTTACCACCACCTCCCCCAGCACCACTTTCACCTGTTGTCAACCCGCTGAAGTCTCCAACAGACTCACCTACCAAACTAAGCCTTGAGAAAACATCTACAGTTGATACTCCCAAAACAGTTAAAGAAGACACAGAACATGATAATTCTACTGAAAATCAAAGCACACAGGATGTACCAGATGATGATTTTGGTGATTTCCAAGCAGCAGGTTAAGCTATCAATAGTCGTGTGGCTTGAATTTGTGATGGCTAGAAAACATGCAAAATCGTTGACTCCTCGAGTATTGCTTTATACCAAAGACTTCTAATTCAGCTTGGAGATTCAATTATGCCCTTCCAGACAGGAAGAAAGTAAATCCTATATAGCCTCCAACAAAATATCATTAAAAGAATCAAACACTATGCTTTGTAATCGGTGATTGCTTTAGTTGCACTGCGGGCTACTATTACGAGAGTTTTTCCTTCATCTTGAGTCACTTTGTTTCTGTTTTATGCTATGTTTAAATTTCAGAGTTGGGATGCCTCAATAGTTATTTTGATGGTAGTATCCTTAACCGGGTTCATAGCATTGTTGATAACATAATTGCTGTTAATGAATCAGATTGTGTTCATGAACTTTGATTTGTTTCTTATGTCCTCAGGAAAATAAAGAAAAAATAAATTTGTTCCTCTTATCTTCAGAAAAGATAAGATAAAAAAAAAAAAAAAGAGGGAATAAAAACTACTGTTTTGAAAATGAATCAATTTTTAAATAATTGAATTTTAATTAAATTGAAATAAATGAAAAAAATCAAAATAAAATGAGTTGATTTTTGGATGAAAGATTAAATTTTTTATATTTTTATTTTTATTAAAAATATAATATATTATAATTTTTTATTTATTTTATATTAGATATATTAATTTTAAATAATAATTATTTAATTGTGTTTTTATTATATTTTAATTCATAACATAACTTTTATTTTTTTTAAATATTATTATTAATAAATTTATTATATTATAAAATATTATTTTATTAAATTGAGTTACTGAACTCGTGTCTCTTTTACTCTTTTGTCACCTTACCGAACGAATTTTACAAACAACCTACTAATATATTTTTGAGGTTGTTTGGCTTAGAAGCATAATAAAAAAAACAGTATAGTCAATGGAATAAACAAAGCTTCTATGTTTATCTCTATTCTTGCCAATCTGTTTCAGTTGTTTAAAAGCGAAGTGAAATATTATTTTTTGTAAAAGATGATCTTTCTATACGTTTTCCTAAAAAACAAACAAATTTGAATGATTAATTAAAAATAACTACTGATTTAGATAATACATATTTGATAGGACTCCTATTGTAAGTTTATCTAACATATGAAAGATTTTATAATTTAAAATTTGCATAAAGTAAATTAAAAAAAATTAGTTGCATTGGTTGTTTTCATACAAATTCTATATCATATCAATTTTCAATGTATTTCAATCTCCAACCAACCAATCCCCAAATACAATTTTTTTTTTATATAAAACCATAATAATAATAATAACTGATAATATTTTATAATTTCTTACATTTTATTGACAAATCAATTCATGTTTGAAAACTTTTGTGTAATGCAATTCACAAGCCAAATAAAAATGTTACGTTGACAATCGCTCATCTATAACTCATTTTAGTAATATAATAATAATATTTATTATTTTATTAACACAGTTAAGGTCTATTTCAAATGTGAAAATATCATGTTTATAGAACAGAATAGTAGGTTATAATATATTCACATGTTTCTAAATGTGAAAATATCATGTTTATACAACAGAATAGGTTCTAATATATTCACATTTTTTGTTTTCTAAATACCATTTAACATTATTTTTATATTTTTATATTATTATTTTATTTATAAGATTTCACGGTTGATTATATGATGTTTGAAGGATGCGAAAAAATGATGGGAGAAAATATTTGATATCCCATTTTTATAAATATATTATTGATAACTTTAAAATATTATTTTTTTTATTGATAGAAAGATGGAAAGATGTGAAAAAAAATAATGAAAAAAAATATTTTAACAATTATTTTTATAAACATTCTATTAATAATTTTAAAATATTATTTTTTATTGATAAAAAAATAAAAAAATAATTTAAAAATTTAAAAATAAATTATTAAATAAATGATTTTGTTGATTTGTGGTGTAAAAGTATCATAACTCAGAAATCATTTCGCAACAGAATAATAGCAGAAAGAGGCTACAGTCATGGTATGGCAAGTGAAAAAAAAAATGAAGATGGGGTCCACGATAAAGTGAACAACAATGATCAAAAGCGCTTTAGAAATCGAAATCCACATGTCAAACTTAAGGCTTAGTGGAACTGACCCTATATATCTTCTTGCTCTCTCACTCTTCACAGTAGTCGTCCTCTTGTTAACAAATTTTATCTCACGACTTCTCCAATTAGAAGCTGCTCTTCTTTCTGTGCGGGTCACAACAAGTAAATTATTTGGTTGCACTTTTTGTATCGTAACCTTGCTCTTGCTCTCTTTCTTTCTGTGCGCGTCACACCAAGTAAATTGCTGATTGCACTCCTTTGTATCACAACTCTTTCATTTTTTAACCTTTCATTTTTTTTAATAAGTTATGATGATTTCTGGTTACAAGTTGGGTTCTTTCTTACCTTTTGGCAACTTTGCCAAGTGTTTTTCTTCCGTGGAAGAGGGGGATTGTATTTCATTTTAACCTTTTTTATGGTAATTTTGATCTGCTACGTGTTTTTTATGCTCTTTTCTTTAAGAGAAAATAGTTAGAAGTAAAGGATTGTCAATAATATCCTTTAAATTAGTTGAAGGATGTTGAATATGGACGTGATACTGTTTATTGGAAGTTAGGTTATTTTTACAGGTTAAGTTAGGTTATTTTTACAGGTTGGAGGCCAGTTTGAATGATTATTCAATAAATGTGTTCTGGGATGAGAGTTATTTATAATGCATTTTATGCTTTTTGTAATATCCTGATCAATATACATTTACTTTTTGCCTTTTGCCTATAGCAATTATCAGTTTTGTTTTTCGCTAATTTATAGCAATTATCGACTGAGTCTTGGTTGTTTTGTTTTTCGGTAATTTATTGGCAGATAAGCAGGTAGAATCGCCTTCAAGTTCAATATTTTTTTATCCTTTTTCACATTGGACATACAGGACAACTCTATTTACTGTTTCTATTTACTGTTTCAGAGATAGTGTACTGTGATGGCTATGGAAATAAAATGCATAACTTGGGTTGGTAACATGTTACAGAAGTTTGAGGATATTTATTTGGATATGGAAGACGCAGCATTTGAGGTATACCTTAGTCATTTGAATCTTAATATAATCTTAATTCTTCCATTGTAGTGGAGCTGCAGCCTTTCATATGTCCAAATTGCTCTACCTATAGTTCTTGTTAGTTTAGTTGTGATAACTTTTCCGAATTTGCTTTTATATATGATTTCAATTACTAGCCTGGTTGAACTGTTTTCTGGTTCTGATAGTTATTGGCCTGCAATTGATTTTTGTAATCCTACCATTTTTGTTTCCCTTTTTGGGATAGGAAACTGTCAAGTACCTAGGGAATCAGATGCAGACTGTTGGGGAAAGTGTTAAACAGATCTGTTCAGATGTCATGCAAGATTTACTTCCTTCACCTTCATGTGATTTGGATGAAACATCAGCCTCTGAGTTGCTTATAGATCAAAATACTGATGCTGGGCAAACAACTAAGGATTCAAGGATCAATGATGAGGTTAATGATGTAATCCATGCTGAATCCTGTGATTCTAATGCTTTTTTCAGTTCAGCTTCTTGTAATTCTGTCAAGGAGTACAACAAATCAAACCTCGGTGGTGATAAACAAAATACGAACATCCCTGCATCCAAGACAGTCTCTGAAATCACTTTATCAGTGACAGATTCGTGCCTGGTAAATCAAAATCATGCAGACACTGTTTCAAAACCAACTTTCTCTGAATCAATTACCGTGGCCTCTGTAGCTGACTGTTGCAATGAAATTGAATCAATTACCGTGGCCTCTGTAGCTTACTGTTGCAATGAAATTGAAAATGCAAGTACTAAAGAAATCCCTGATGTTCTAGGATTGATTGAATCAGCTGAAGCTGAAGAGAATTCATATTCCTACAATGTCCTGTTTGTAGATCCATATGGTTAGTATTTGAGTGTCTCTTGGATGTATTTTCAATTTTCGTTCATTTTTTCTTATTGATAACTTTTTGCTTTTGCTTCTGAGGGTGAACTGTAGCCTGCCAATTATTCTTACCACACCATCACTGTATCTCATTCTATTAATTCAGATCACTCTGATATACTTACTGAGTTCAGTTGTCAATTCAATCAATATGAAGTAGGTCCACGGTTTATGTATTACTGCATACCATTTAAAAGTACTTTCGGATTTAGTATATATGGATGCACATCTATTTGGTTGAATTTGAAGAGGTTTATCTTGGTGCTGGCTGGTTTGGTCTGATTTTGCAAAAAGGACCATGAAAATAAATGTTGAGGCATCCCCGTATGGTTGTATCTGTGAGTTCAGAATGATTTCAAGAAATGGGGGATGTGATAAGTTTGCCTGGCATTTGTCTTTTATAGCCTTTGATTAATAAATGATAAAGTGTTTTCTATACTAAATCCATTTATTTTACAACTCAAAAATGGTTTCTTGCACATAACTATTTCATTCTGACTCAGATTGGAATATTTTGTTCTTTTCAAAGTGTCCATTGGTATACCTAGATTCAGAAGCTCTAAAGCCTGTTTGCAGTAGATTTTGTTTTCAAGTATTAGACATATAAAAAGTCTATGGGTAATCCCTCTGTCAACATTCTGAGGGGCTCAGAAAATATTTGAGATGCTAGTGTCCTGTCATTCAGTTTTATGATATATTTTAGTTAATGGTAACTGACACTTATTATTTTAGAAATCATAGAAACATGTCTTTTGGATGTACCAAAGACTGGTACTATTGTTGAGCAAGGCGATAAAACAATGCAACAAGATGACGAATTGAAGCTTGAGCAAACTTGTGTTATGGTTATTAGAGATGGACTTCAATCAGTTCCCAATGCAGGGGTTAATCTAAGAACTAGCAAGGTACACATACCCCTTCCCTCTCTCCTTTATTTGGTGCATATTAAGCTCTAACATGTTTATTCATTTTTCTCATGTTTGAAGAACAAGAAGCGGCAACCCTTTTTGTTATCCAAGAAGGCTGCAAGGAGGCAAGAGTATGAGGAGCTTGCAATATTGCACGGAAACAACAATGAAAAGGGTGATTGTGCAGAGAGTTTTTGTCCAATTTTACAGGATGATGATCACAAGAAGCTACTGCTTCCTGATATCTCTGAATCTGAGTGGGAGCTCCTCTAAATACCAGGATGATTAAGTTGTGTAGATATTACATCCACTTCTTCCTTCTTATGAAGGAGGGAGTTTGAGATGTCCTAGTTTGCCCCAACCCCCACTTTTCTTTTTGAAAAAAGAAAATAACGAAATAAGAAACCTTTTATTTGATCATTCAAATGAGAACATTAGTCGTTTGGACCAATTATATATGGAGCATGAGAACCTACACTGGATCAAAATGTCTATATATCTTTATCCTATCTCTATAGGATTTCAAGTATCTTTTATCTTCTGCTATTTTTTTTTATCTTGCTATGCTTTTCCTCAATGAATGGTTGTGTTGAGTGGAGCATTACTTCCGCCGGACTGTGTCTGACTTGAAAACCATGGAAATCTCTGTTTTGATAGCCACTTCAAATTCTAGAAAAAAAAAAATGAAAAGGAAGAGAAATACGTCCGAAATAGAAATATAATATAGATTTGAAAAATTTTGTACAACCACATGTAATTTTATTAGTTAAATTTTGATTCACATCTAATATTGATAGGAGGATCATTGGATTTTTAGGAATAACCATCAATAAAATTAAATCTATGGATTTAATTTAATCATGTTTTATATATATTTATGTGTGGATGAACTGGATGGAGGATGGATAAATGAATTATTTTGATATTCCTAATTTATATCATTGTAAGATCTATTATGAAATGATTTTATTAATCCATATAATTATATGTTATTATTTGTGTTAAGCCTTGAAAAAATTAAATAATGCTAGAACTATAGTAATTTTTTTATCTCATTCGTCATTAGTATATATAATTCAACTTTTAATGTTTATCAAAAATATAGTATTAAATAATTATAAACTAATACTAAAATTTATAATATAATATTTATATGAAAAATAAGATATTGAACTAAATAATTACGTGATTTTTTAGAAATGTTCATGTAATTGTATTTGAAAAGAAAACTCGCCTTTATCTAGAGTTTGGTTCATGTTATATTGGGTATGTATGTGTATGGTGGAGGATATATATATATATATATATATATATATATATATATATATATATATATATATATATATATATATATATATATATATATATATATATATATATTATATATATATCTACGGTGGAGATATAGATTTAAAATCCTAAGTCAGGTGAGATAATTTATTTATATTATTGGATATATGTGTATGTTGGAGGTATAGGATAATTTACTTTTTAAATAATATAAGATTAAGAGAACATTTTCTCCACCAATTAATGTATTTATATATACTCAGCATACAAATCTATTATAGAATAGTAGAAACACATATATGATAGAAAAGCAGGAATAGTGACCAGTAATATATAAGATTAAGAGGAAAAATAATAAATATTATTTAGTTAATAATTTTAACAAAATCAATATATATATCCCTCACGATTGGAGTCTTACACAGTGAATTTTAAATAGGCCAAAGGCCCATGATATTGTTCGGCCATTGTTATCCCTTATTTTGCTAATAGCACCCCATCCACATTTTATTCGGCACAAGTATTTCTCACAAAAACGCATTCCCACTTCAAAATGGATTACATTAATATGCTTATAATCTTTTATGGAAATAAAAATTATATTTTGAAAATAAAGTGACATTATAAATCTAGGTACTAAAAAAAAATCTAACATAAAATAATATAAAGTACATTAATAAAATAAATTATTTATGATAACAAGAACAAACAAATAAAACAAAATTGTATTTGAAGTGAACACTCAATTAAATTAATTCATCATTGAAAAATTATGAGATTTTCTACCTATACTTTAAAGTGAATACGGAATTGAGTTAATTCATCATTAAACATTTTGAGTTTTAAGTTTATAAAAAGCTTTTGATGTTTTATTTAATTAAACCATTATTTATTGAGTTTGATGTGATACGAGTATAAGAGATTTTTTTATATATAATGAAACTCAAGTAGAGAAACTTTTGGTTGAGGTATAGAGATTTTAACTTGGATAAGAAATGTTGAAGTTGTAAGGACAATTATTCATAGGAACTATCAATGTATATATCCATAAGACATAAAAAATTATAATTATTAATGAATATATATTTATTGAAAATTAAGATAATTATTCGTAGATATATTTATTATTATATATAATTGAAAATTCGATATTTATCACAAATTAATGTATTCATGAATAATTAGTAATAATGATGATGATGATATGATCAAGAACAAATGCAATGATCCACTTGAAAGATTTTGAGAATATACGACAAAGACTAAAGTAAGAGAAACATAGAAAAATATTTAATAAGTGTTGTTCATATTATTTGAATACAAATCCACATTTTAAGGTGAAAAGACCAAAGTTGTGAATTGCATCATAATCCAAGTGGAGGAAGACTAATGTGTCACTTGTTTTAATCTTTAAGTTTGTTTAAATAATGACTAAACCCTTTATAAAATTGGCTGACCAAATTATATTTTGGGTTAATCAATTAATGAATTTTAGTTTTTTTTTTTTTTTTTTTTTTTTTTTTTTTTTAAGTTTAAACAAGAGACTAAGAGGGTGCATACCTAATTTATTTTTTGTTGTTACAATTTCAATTCCTAAGTTAATGAATCATTATTAACATTTGTTTGCCTCTAGTTTTCAATTCTTAGACTAATATATCATTATTAGTATTTATTTTCTTTTATTGAGTCTTTGTAATTCCGATGACAAAAAATTCATTATAAGCTCAACCAACCATTTTTATCAAAAATAAATTTAGTTTTATTCAGAAATATTAGAGTCTAGCTTTTTTATCTTAGTGAGAGTGATTTTTTTAAGTTCTTTAGTGATTCAATAATCATTGGCTGTATCAAAGGACTTTTACATTCTTTATGAATTGCCTCTTTTAAAGAGAGTGATTATTTTTTCGACCTTCACATTCACCTCTCATTCTTTCTTCACGAAAACCTAAAAAACTCAATTCTGTCTAATTCTAAAAATTTTACCACTTTTTAATCTATATTCTCACTAATTTCCTAAATTTCCTACAAACTTATAACATTAAAGATTAAAGTAAATCTTTGTGCAAATTAGGTTCATATCAGATTAAATGTCTATCAATAATTCTTTATGATTTATTTTCATGAATAATCATCAATAATTATTAGATAGATATGTTTAATTTCTTGATAATATTTATCGATAATATTTTTACCATAATTACAAATATTTTTTAACATATATTTTAGCATTTAGAAGACAAGTTTTGTTGGGTGATGAAATCAATTTTTCTTGTAAAAATTCATGTGAAAATTTATTATTAAAAACGCTTATTGATTCCCTTCCTCAACCTTCTAACTGTTTTTTTTATCATATTAACTTTAAGCATTATCTTTGATTAAAACTTTTGTTTTTCTCTTTAACAATATTTAATCCACTTATTCAATTTAGTGCTCAAGGTATCTCTGTTGAATTAATTATTTAAAAAAAAAAGTACTTTACCAAATTTTATTTTAGGGGATATTGACACCCCGAAACACATTTAATTAAAATACCTTATATCAAACTATAAAAGTAAAGCCGAAACTAATAAATAATTTTGAATTTTATATTTACTAATTAATTCTTATGACTGTCAAAGTATCACAAGGTTTATAGAATTTAATATTAGTAATTAAATAACTTTTACCTTTATTACCTCTTGCTATCGTCAACATATTTTTTTTAAATAATAAAATTTTTGCTTATAAGGGATGAGAATATCTTTGGGTGGTAGTTAGCTCAATAGAGAAAAGGATTTTTTTTTTTGATATATATAATTAATCAAGATATGTGTCTTTTTTGATATAAACCCAACTTTAACTTTACTACACCATCTAATCCCCATTAGTTATAAAATTAGTTGATTGCATAAAGCACATAACTTTTCTTAAATACAAAGTTAGGTTCATCAATGCACATTTTATTTCCTACAGGATAATGGCTGTCATTATTGACCCATGACAAAAAGAGAAGGAGAGAATAAAGAAGACAAAAAAAAAACATATTTTTAAAAAGGCAAGTATCTCTAAAGTTACTCATTTAACAAGCAACTTGTATTAGAATTTCATCAAGATGGGCCAAAAACTTTTTCTTGATATGGCCCACTAGCCCAACTAATCTTCATTTCCTGCAACCAGAGCATACTCTTGTCAACTTAAACTATTGGGTTCTCAAGAGAACAAACAAATGCAATTAATTAATTATTTGTTTGGATTATTATAAGCATGTAAACAAGTTTTGAAAATCATAGATGCTACTTTGTTTGAAAGAAAAGGACAACCCTCAAAGGAAAAGGACCTACAATAATGGCGGCTAGAATATGTGACAAGGATATTGATGATAATATAACCTATGACTTGGTCTTAGTGTTTCTTCTAAAGATTGCAAGTGGATAAAGAAAATCAAATCTTACGCATTCTATTGCCTCTAGGATTGGATAAAGCTGTGTGTTTAATGTGATTTTTAATAATTCATAATCTAAAATCGTTACACTGCTACACTAAAAGAAAAATGTTACAATAACAAGAGAGATAGATTTTCACTATTTTTAATTTTAATTAATTTATCCAACATGTATACATATTTAATATGAAGAATATAAAGTTGTATCTTAACTTAATTAATAATATTATTTTGAAAATCGACACTACTGTCACTTTAATAGGTTGAAGCAGAAATTGGACTTAAAATTGTTTCGTGATTTTTAAATAGTTGGATGTTGTTTTTAAATGGTTGGATTTTTTAAATCGGAATAAAATCGATTAAATTTTTTTATATATTGATTTTAAGTAAGAAAAGAATTAGATTAAATTTTTTAATATAATTTTGTTATAAAAAATATAATATATTTTAATTTTTTATCTCATATTAATTACATTATTTTAAATAATAGTTATTTTATTATATTTTAATAATAGTTTATTTTTTATTTTATAATATATTTTATATTTATAATTTGTAGTAATTATGATAATAACTTTTATTATTATTTTTTTTATAAAAAATATTACTAATAATAAACTTATTATATATTTATTATATCATAAAAATATAATTTTATTAAATTCATTTAAATCGATTAAACCTGATTGATGATTTAATCTACAAACCCATATTTTGATAGTTGATTGACGAATCCAATTTTAAAAATTGGTTAATATCATCAAGTAATTTAGATTTAAGTTTTCTGTTTTGAAATTTGAATCTAAATGTATGCATAGATAGAAGAAGATTTGAAGAATATGGAAACTAAAAGGCTCCAACCAGCTCTTCATGTTTCACTCTTCTCATTCAATTCCCGTGTTCATTTCATTATCAGAGCCTCGTGACAGTGATTATACATCAAAGCTGAAACAACAAATCACAAGAAATACCAGAAAAGACCCTACACTACATTACCTTCATCAATAATATGCAACCCTTTCATTTTATATACATCTAAATCTCATCTTCAAAGATAAGATACGTATTTGGATTTTTCACTCTTTTCTTCATTCTACATCACATTTTCTTCCTCGACACTTGTACACATTTAGCTTCATCCAAAGTCTTTTCAAATAATCATATATCCTATCAATATGAAAAAAATGATGTATATGTTTTTCAACATTTTAAATTATATGATTTATATAAGTGAAACAATAAATAAGTAAAAAGAAAGTTAATTTGAAACTAATACTTATTTAAACTTTATTTGAATTAAACTCTCTTACGCTGGTTTGTGTCACCAACCAGACCCACTTGGACTATGGATCTGGTCCCAACTTCTTGTCGGTTTATACATAACATCAACGACAACCCTAGCAATTAAAAAAAGAAAAAACAAATAAAACAAACATAGCATTAATTATTCCAAGAAATTATAATGTCTAATACCTACTAATTTAAAATAACTAGTAAAATAGTAATATATACAAGGGAAAATGTTCAACTAATTTTAAAATTAAGTTTAAAATTTTATTTTATTTCTTTATTTTTATTTTCTCCTAATCTGGTGATTAAAGATAAATTCTTTGTTAAAGTTATTTAATTAAAATAAATTAAATAATCACAAAATTATTCATGAATAAAAGTTTGTTAAAGATGATGTATGAGAATAATATGTCGTTAGTATTGATCAAGATTATATTTTAGTTGAAACAGACAATGAAATCATAATTCTTAAAATAAAAATGTCACATAATTTAAAAAAAAAAAATATGCCTTGATCATTGAGTAGTGGTGGTTTATAGTTTTTGATAATTGAAAACAAAAACTGAAGTGTTCAATGTTGCATTGCAGATTCGTGTGGTATCAATTGTGAAAAAATTGACTCACGAACCAACTCCACTAATATAAAATTATTTGAATGATGAATTTAAACATTCAAAATAAAATTTACAGATTAGCCAAAGCAATCTCCACCATGTGTGGCTCTGCTTTTTCTTTCTTTTTCTTTTCTTGGCCTCACACTCATTTCTTAATGAATAAGATAATCAGAGATGGAGTTTACACGAAGCACCCCATCATTGGATCATTTCCAAACAGTGCAGTGCAGCTCTACACTCATGTAATGGAAAGATGTTTGAAAATTAAGCTATGAAATATACAAACTTAAACATTCACATTAAAAGTTTTAGTATTTGAATAATCTTTGACCAAAAATGCTTATCTACCCTACTGTTACCAATTAAGGCACATAAAATAAATATTCTATTACTGTCAACATTTCAGAGCTTAATATTGGAGTAGCTTCTACGTAAGTTATCATTTTAATTTTATTACAGACACAAGCCAATGCCACCCAAAAAGGAAAATAATCACCATCTAAACAATAATTGACCATCATAATTCATATTTTGCAACTACCTTCGTGTCGTTCGCGACCATTATGTATGGATGATTTATTGTTGCAGCAGAAGCAACCACCAACATTTTGTGCATATATTTTCTCTTGTCAATTTTATATGTCACTGAATTCTTATGTGCCTATATTCACAAGAAAACATTATATCAGCAACTATAAAACAGAGGCGATCAAGATTACAGAAACTTTGCATACACCATCTTATGAAATCATTAGAGTATATATGAACCAAAAAAGGAAGAAAAACACATTGTACCGTGTTAGATTACATAACCATATTTGAGATTCAAAACATGCTTAATTGCCTAACTCTGCCAAGCCTATGGTCAACATCTAACACCTTTGGTAGGAGGCCTATCGTATGCATGCTATGTTGTTGACTTGTATCATAGAGGTTAGAGATTATTTTTGTAATACAAAACTTTATAGAGAAGTATAAGGTAAATAACGTAATGAATAGTATATATAGTTTAATTTCTATAAACTGTGAGTGTAAAAAGAGTGATACCATTGTTTAATTAATAACCATGTTCCAAGAGAGAACATGCAGCGCATGAAAGAGAAAAAACTGTGTTTTCTGGTCAACCATGATGTAGTCTGTCTCTATGATTCGAACCCCAAATCCAAGTTGATAACGTGATACGATGAGGTGATTAAATAGCACCATAACAGGGGAAATAACAGAGTTGCTTTTGAAGGAGAATAACTAAGGTTGGTGTTGCACATAAAGGAATACGTACTGTGTGTGACAAGAAAGAATCCTAGCACAACATTACCAAGTAATGGTTTTAAATTGCTCAACATTGTTAAGACTTATATTAGTAATTAGTAGAACTTACTATTTGTAATGGCAACGTTATTAATGCCACATAAACTACAATGTTGTAGTCATAAGTCATAACTGTTATTGAAGATCACAATTTAAATTCCAAAAGTCTAAGAAAATGAATTATCCTAGAAAACTAGTTTTACTGAGCAGTTTTGACCATTATTTTTCTGACTCAAAATAATAAGTAGAGAAATTCAATGCAAGGATCAGAATTAGATCCAAGCCTACCACATGACAATGTTAAAGGATGCATCCAAAATTGGCACTGTTTCCGCCAGCTGAATTAAATAAACAAATAATGAAAAAACACGTATACAATAATACAAACTAAAAGAAAAGAGAGAAAAAAGGTGCCATGTTTTCACATTCTTCAACCCCCATCTCTCACTCTCAGTCACAAATGAACACACAAATAAACATTATATAAGCCTTTGTTTGAGACAACTTTTTCTGCATTCCTCGTCCTTTTTTTTCGTTCAAAAACACAGGGAAGGGAAAGTTGTAGTAAGGAAAGAAACTCCAAACTAAATGGGTTTCTTGTTTCCAACCCTCTTGTTGTGTCTCTTTGTTATGTTATTTTCCTTCCAAACAAAAGCTGAGGAATTTGACCCCTACTTCAATGCCAATGTTTCCAGTCTGAGCAGTGGCAGAAAACTTGCAGGAAGATGCAACTTGTTCCGTGGCAAATGGGTGTATGACTCTTCATACCCTCTCTATGACCCTTCTACATGTCCCTTCATAGATCCACAATTCAACTGCCAAAAGTACGGTCGCCCTGACACACAGTATCAGAAATATAGATGGCAACCCTTCTCCTGTCCTTTACCAAGGTAGCACAAACTTCGACCCTTCACTTTCACAGTTCAAATTTTCTTCACCTTCGGCCTCAACCCTTATCAATCTTCATGTCTTGTGTTGTGGCTAAACTTTTCTGCCAACAGGTTCAACGCATTTGATTTTCTGGCTAAGTATAGAGGCAAGAAGATTATGTTTGTCGGTGACTCCTTGAGCTTAAATCAGTTCAACTCTCTGGCTTGTATGATTCACTCTTGGGTGCCTCAGGCTAGAACCACTTTCACAAAGCAAGACGCTCTATCCAAAATCACATTTGAGGTTGGTTTTCTACTTCTTATTCTTCTCATTAATTTAGTTGAACTATTCAATAAATTCTATAATTGTCTTTATCTTACGTTTGGCTAAAAGATTTTGTAGCGGTGCTAACAACCACTATCAGACACATTAGTATTAATAACAGAGACTAAATTATTTTTTTAACGAAGTTAACATTAAAATAAAAATGATGTTAGCAATCTTGTGTTGTTTAATTTCTCTTTCTTTCCATTTTTGAATTGAACTGTGGTGGTGGTAGTGATGATTGCTAGTTTGGTGTTGAGTTCTGTCCATGCAAGTGGTGTCGTTTTCTCTCTCAGAAAGTTGAAAAAATGTGGTGTGTTTTTCTAAAGTTTTGAACTGGGTTTGAGGAATTGATGAGTGGGATTGATTTGGTGTGAGTGCCGGCGGGGAGATACAAAAAAACCTGGGTTTTGTTTTGTGTGTTGCTGTGAAGCACCGAAATAAAAAGTTTGGGACGTTATTGGTGGCGTCTTTCTTCTTTAGCAGGGACACCTTTGATTGTTAATTTGAAGGATAATAAATGTTTCCCTTAATTGCTTTAATTATACTTTACTCGAGCTTTTACCCTTTCGACCCATTTTTTGAACGCGAACATAATTTTCTTAACTATGTCCAACCATAGAGTTAAAAAATATAAATAAATGGACAACTAGATACACCAACATGTGAGCCATTATTTAATTCCTAAATATTATAATTTAATAATGAAATTGCATCTGATTTTAATGTCTAAATACTTCTACAAATTTTAACATTATTTATTACCTCAAAGGTGATGTTTCGGTTGCATCATCTTCGTTTGTTTGGCGAAAGGGGAAACCTTTTCTCGTGAAATCGATCGAGTATGCTAAAATTACAGTAATTTTTATTGTTGGTGTTCTTTCTCATAGGAGAATGCTGATTTAAAGTAAAAAGGTGTAATATTTAGTGTTACTAATTCATTGTTTTTGAATAACTTTTTTGTAATTGTCAACACTTTTCTTGCTTTATATAGAAATTTGTTAAACAAATGTCTTAATTAGCAATGATGAATGTTGGACATCTAGTTTTTCCTCCAAATCCTTGTTATGTGTGTAGTGACATCAAGTCATCAATCGCGGATTTGAATTCCGCAGCACCCAACACCCATCATTAGTAATAACTAAATTGTGAGCAAAGCTTTACTCAGCCCCAACTCATTTTTTCTTTGCTCGATCTGTTTCCACATCTGCAATGATTGAAATTTTGATATTTGCAAATTACAGAGGTATACAAAATTGTGACAGCAACAGTAATTCTAGGCTTGTAGATATGACTTGTAATTCTGTTCTTAATTACTTCGAAATTGGACCACTTGACACTTGTGGCTTGATGCATACGCTGGCATCTGCTTGCACGACTTTTTTCTTTGGTAAACTACAAGTGTCAAAAAATGGGCCACTCTGTGAGAAGGAGGGATTTTCTTTTTCTTCTTCCATGATCCTTTTTAGTTTCTTTAACATCTTGAATCACGAAGCAAGAAAAGACACCATTGGATAATTTGGTAGGGAAGTTTCGTGAGAAATAAACAAAGTTTGGTGGAGACACCAAAATAGACAAATGATTCACTGTGTAATTCCTATGATTCTTTATATTTATCAGGACTATGGCCTTGAGTTGTTTCTGTATCGCACACCATACTTGGTGGACCTTGACCGTGAGAGTGTTGGAAGGGTTCTGAAGATTGACTCAATCAAGAGTGGTGATGCTTGGAGAGGAATGGACGTGCTAGTTTTCAACACGTGGCACTGGTGGACCCACACTGGAAGTTCACAGCCGTAGGGTCAATCTTTCACATCATCGTCATATATGTCAGTTCCCTTAATCAGGGTTGAGAAATAATTGCTTATTGTATTACTACATTACAGGTGGGACTATATTCAAGACCGTAACAAATTGTACAAAGACATGAACCGATTCATATTATTCTACAAAGGGTTGACAACTTGGGCTAGATGGGTTAACATCAACGTGAATCCAGCTCAGACCAAAGTCTTCTTTTTGGGAATTTCTCCAGTGCATTATGAGTAAGCTTTCTCTACTCCAATCTGACTAGTTTTAAGTCAGATTTTTGGTTACCAAAATTGATATACATGTTCATCATGGTCCTATCTAATTTAGATGTGAAATGTATAGAAATTTGTTGATCTATGATGTTTCTGACATCTGATGTTTTTTCATTTGTGTTATACGGGAATTTAAGTGGTGTTGGTTTTTTTTTATTAACTGTGCATGGTGGTGTGTGATGTGGTTATCAGGGGAAAAGATTGGAACCAACCAGCAAAATCTTGCATGAGTGAGAAGGAACCATTCTTTGGTTTGAAGTACCCTGCAGGGACACCAATGGCTTGGGTGATAGTGAACAAGGTTTTGAGTAGGATAAAGAAGCCAGTGTATTTCCTGGATGTGACTACTCTATCACAGTACAGGAAAGATGCACATCCTGAAGGGTACAGTGGGATTATGACAACTGATTGCAGCCATTGGTGTCTTCCAGGACTGCCTGATACTTGGAATGTGCTTCTGCATGCTGCTCTTTTTGGCTGAAGAAGCACCTACTGACTTACCAACTTTGTCTGTTAGAGGAAAACCATTTGTTTTCTAATGTAGGAAACATTTAGTTTAGCATTCTGCTTCTTTAGAATAGGATAATAAAAGTGTTTGATTCTTCAAATTGTAAATTTTCATATTGTTTGGCATAAACGTGCCTTTCATGAAAAGCATTTGCACTAAGTTTACTTTGGAATAACTTGCTGCCGAATCGTTGTGAATCTGGTTCTTCATGAAATTCCCTTTTACTGAAGCTTGATGAAAGAAAAGCTAACACAGAATCTGATCCCACTCTGTAAACTAATGTTAAGCATCACTAGCCTGGACTATATCACAACATAGGCTTTTTATGCCGGAAAATCACTTTGACCAATGGAAGAGAAAATAAATTCTTGGATAAAAAATTAAAATAAGTAATATATAGCTAACAATATAAATATTTTTTATATTTTCATTTAAATACAAATCATCGTATACTATAAATACATTAATTTTTGTGATAATTATTTTATAAATTATGTTAAAAATTCAAAATAAATTCATGAGAATTGTAAATTTAGGTAAGAAAATATTCTATGCACATCAGAGTAAAACATTTGTCATTTAGTAAAACAATTATTACATGCAATAAATCTATTAACTTTATTAATGTGAACAACAATTATCTTAAAAAGTTTTACGTGAGGAACATCTTTTTCCTCAAAATATTTTCTTAAATATATAATAAAATATATAAAAAAATCACATATATCACTCTTTTAAATGAAACTAATAGAAATAAACAGATAAAAGTTTCAAACTAAAATATTTTTAAGCATTAGAATTACTTTTTAAAGTTCTTATGATAAAATCAGAATAAAATTTTAAAATAATTATTTAAAAAATACACAAATAAATAATTCTATATAAAATTTTCGCATTAAGTGAAAATATTTCTTCGTTTAATATTTAAAAAAAAATATATATATATATATATATATTAATATAGTAATAATGTACTAAATAAATATACTTAATTATTATATTGTAAATAACACAACATAAAATTATTGAGATATTATAATTTATTACTAAAAAAAATATTTTGGTAAGAAAAATATAAATGACTTTATTATATAAATTTATTATATTTATTAATAAATCTTAAATGACTTTATTGAACTTATTTATTACTATAATATATATATATATATATATATATATATATATATATATATATATATATATATATATATATATATATATATATATATATCACATACCATATAAACTCCCACAATCCACTCACTCCTAAAACATATATAATATATTTGAACCCAATGTTGGATGATAGAGGTAGTTATAATGCTCCCTTATCTCATTCACAAACGAATACTTGCTATAAAACTCTAAGACTAAGATTAGGACCTTAAAGATCTTCGTTAGAAAATAATCAAAATAATTGAACCAAAAATAACAACAAACAAACTTGGATATTTCAATTGACCAAACAGAAATCAAATTTTACTTAGACTTTTCATAATACATAATATAATAGTATACTATTATTTTTTTATACCCATAATCTGTACACTATTATTTACACTTAATCAAATTTTTTTATACTAGTATTCTACTACTCACTTTAATAATAATATAATAATAATTACTGTATTATTAAAATAATTGTTGAATGGAGGGTCAATTGATTGAAGATGTTAATTTATTGTTTTAACAACCAACTTATATCCGGCTCACATCGATTGATTTATTATGGTTTACGATAAAAATGGCTAAGTTTTGAAATCGTTTAACAACGAATTAAATGATCAGAACTCACTTTAACCCATAATAAAACAATTTTAAACTTTTTCAATTGAATCACTCATGTTCACATCCCAACTTATATATGTATAACATACATAGATAAGTGATAACTTCTTTTTATATGCAACTAGATAAGAATAAAAAAATAATTGTTATTTTATCCAAAGGATATAAATTGGTATAATATTGTTATTTCTTCGTCTCGAGCGGACAAAATCTGAATTGATCGGAATAAAGATGGGTAATGTAATCTCTATTTCCACTCGTTTCGATTTTATATTTGAAATTAAATTTTAAAATATTAATATTTTAAAAATATTTTCTTTTTTAATTATATATAAAGTTATTTTTTTATATTTCATTATCTTTTACTTTGTTTCCTATCCATTTTTAATTTTTGTTGTCTGTTTTAATCTTTTATATCAATTAGTTTATATACGTTATTCTTTTACCTTTCGAGTTTTTTACGTTTCCTTAATCTCTCTAGTTAATTTTTTTTTCAATCTTTACAACCAATTTGATGAGCACAAAGTTAATTTTTTATTTTTTATTTTTATTTTTAAATATTTTACATAAATATTAGTAGTAACTAATATTATTTTATTTATAATTTATATTTATTATGTTTTTTTATATCATATTTTTTATCTTATTATGATTATTTTTCATATCAAATTTTATCTTAATAAAATAATTATATTTTAAAAGATTAAAAAGAATTAATAATTTAAATTTTTATTATTTTAAACTATTAAATAAAAATTAATTTATTAAATATTTTCTTATAAATTATAAATTTTATATTTTTAAATAACAACTTAAAAATGAATTAATAATAATCAAATATTTAAATAATAATAATAATAATAATGTTATAAATATTCAAATATTTGAATTTGATAATAATAATAATATTATTATAAATATTATATATATATAAATATAAAATAATTAAATATTTTTTTATATACATATTTTATATAAATATAATAAATTTATATTTATATTTAATTAATAATAATTATAAATTATAAAATTATAAATATTTATTTTTATATAAAAAATAAATAGTAAAATTAATTTATTATAAATATAATTATGTTTTTAAAAATAATATATAAAGATTATTTTATATAAATATAATAAATTTATATTTATATTTAATTAATAATAATTATAAATTATAAAATTATAAATATTTATTTTTATATAAAAATATATAATAAAATTAATTTATTATAAATATAATTATTTTAAAAAATAATATATATTAAGGATGAGACAGAAGGGAAAAACTTGAAATCTAATAAAAACAACAATGAAAATTTAATTTTTAACTCCAATTAATAACTCTGACAAAGATCAGGACGGCGACGGAATGGTTAAAAAATTCGGCCACAGCATGGGGAATCGGGGATTGGGTCCTTTCTATTCCACAGGCCCAAGGAGCTAAACAGACAAATACTCTCCATATAATGAATCACTCTGTATCCAATAGCCACGTGTATCTATAACTATATACAAATCCAGGTAACACAAATAGCAACTTTCTACACGTGTAATCACCACAATTTTTTTCAAAAAAATTCATAAACTAATTTTTTACAAAACATACCTATTTTGTACAAAAAGACAAACTGCTTCTTTGGGCCACAACAATACTGCAAGTCCATGCTTCTCCTCAGCCCAAATACTCTCTGAATATCTCATATGCTCTCATATGCTCCTTTGCGCCGTTTCTTGCAAGTCTTCTTGCTCTGCACATTTTCTTCGCTCTGCACGTCTTCTTTGCTGCAATCTTTCCTATTTTATGCAAGATCAGTGTCTCAAAAGAAGCATGAAATCTCTTTTGTTGCACGTCTTCCCTCAAGTAGTATTTCCATCTCGCATGTTCGGATAAGTTATATTTTTTATCATGATTAGAGTTCAATATTGTCTTCTTTGACCGTCATTAGGGTTGTATCTAAGGTTTTGCGTTTAAATGTTACCGATTTTGTAAAAAAGGTTCCTGATTTGCTTTGATCTAAGGTTTTTAAATTTAAAAGTTACCGATTTCGGAAAAAATGTTACTTGATTAGCTTTGATCTAAGGTTTTTGAATTTAAAAGTTACCGATTTTCAATCTTTATATGTTGTTTACCTTCAAGAGCGAAGTTGAAATTTTTTTCATGAAAAAAGTTTGCTTTTTTATCATCATTAGAGTTCAATATTGTCTTCTTTGACCGTCATTAGGGTTGTACATCTGTTTATACCTATTTCAGTATAGTTTTATGTAATTTTGCTTATTGATTTGCATTTAGCCCAAGCTGGAGGTATAAAAATTGTTGTTTTTTACATCATGACGGAAATACAGGATGTCAGATACATGAAAATGGTAATATCTTCCCTTTACAAAAGTTTTAATTCAGATTACTTTAATATTGTCAACATTTCAAATTTCAAATTTCAAATTTCAAATTTCAAATTTCAAATTCTAGAATACAGGCAACATTTCCCTCTTTCCACCATGCTTATAAATATACATCTGTGATGATAATATTTCTACGTTGAGTGGGTTATTCTCTATCTATTTTTTACATTCAGTTTGCAACATGTCTAATTTGCAAAAAAAGTATCACTCTGTTTCAGAACTCAGTGCTGAAAAAGAAAATTGGAATATATTGGCAAAGGTCATACGCCTGTGGTTTGTTTCAGATTTCACTAAACACAAATTGCCATTTTCCATGGACTTTGTCATGCAAGATATGAAGGTCAGTTTACCATGCTTTCAATACATTTTAAATAACACTCAATTGTGATTTCATTTTCTTAATGCAGGGTGACAGAATTCAGGGTTCTGTTAGGAGGTCTCTCATCTATAAATTTCAAAATGAAATTACTGAGGGGCGTGTGTACTCTATTCAAAATTTTGGTCTTGGATCAAATGGTGGTTCTTATAAAACCACCCACCACCCATACAAAATCAACTTCCAGTTTGGAACCAAAGTGAACTTAGTTGATTGTCATGTTATAACTGAAAATAATGGTCAATATATACCACTCTCGGTTATTACGGCTCCTGGATTTGACTACAGATTACTTGGTTGGTAAGTGCATATAACATGATGTTAAATACTCTGTTTTATCATATACTATTTATTTATTATTTAGCATATGGTGTTACTCACATGAAACATCATTTCACAAACACGA